AAAAAAAAAAAAAAAAAAAAACATTTACTTTATGGTTTAAAAGCTTTTATTTATTTTTTTTAATCCACAAAAACCTTTAATTTTATTGAAATTTTTAATTTTTTTTCCCTATTTTTTTAGTCCATAAAAAACTTTTATATAATTATCTGAATTGATTTATTTATAGAAATTTAATTATAAATGAAAGCGATTTAGTATTAGGAATATTTTGTATATTTATTATTTTATTTTTTTTTATTACTAAAACCGGACTCGATCGTTATCCTAACACATTCTTTAAAAGTCTTAATTAAATTAAAAAGGAAGGGCACACATATAATAAAATAATTATTATAAAGTAATGGAGGAAAGGCCCAACATTTTACACTAATATTATATTATTTTTAAATTCTATGGGCGTTAATTTAATTTAGTCCTCGAGTGAAATGACATCTTTGACCAAATGATCTACTTGGGTCAAATTATAAAATTAAATTTTGTATTTAGTTTATCTCAAATTTTTAAAAATTACACTTCTAAATAGTAAAAAAATACATATTTTAAGGAGTTTTGAACCATAAATAATTAAATTTTAGTTTTGAGAGAATCTATGAATCAAATCAGTCCATACAAATTTCTTTTTTTTTGTTTAAATCCATTCAACTAACCTAAATTAACATAAATTAGATTGGATTCATCAGAATTAATAATATTTTGATTAATAATTATGAGCACAAAATGCAATAAAGTGGCAATAAAAAAGCATTGAGCTGAGACAAAAGTTTAATTGAAAAATATTGGTTAAACAAACAGCTTAATCACTAGACTGAAAACAAAAGTTTAAAGATTAAATTATGATTATAAAAGATTTAAAACAAATTAAAAATGTTATTTAAAACAAATTGAGCTGAGAGAGAGAGAGAGAGAGAGAGAGAGAGAGAGAGATGTTCTTCCGCATGCACTTTTCTCTCTCTCTAAGGATATTTGGTATAATTAAGAAAAACGGACTATCTTTGAGTAAGACACAATTGTAGAACGTTCCAACACACATATAACTAATTGCTTCGGATCTTCATCAAAGCTATGAAGCCAAACCAGAGATTTGAGAAGAAATGTCATCCAAAATGAACGCATCTGTACATAATGATTCCTTAGTAACAGAAAAAACAAAGAAAGACTGCTAAGACCACCAACTTTTCTATGTATTTTCCTAACGGAAATTGCTTCTAAATCTGTGAGACAACCTCAACATAGATTCCTGGTTCCTGAAAACAAAGTTTAAACACAATAGTCAGGGACCCATTTAACCTCAAGTGAGAAACCATGTATATTTATATGGTCAATGTCTTCCGTAGCAGCCTACCAGATATTATTCTTTTTAAACTTTTCCGGAATGTTTCGTTCCCCGTTCCCCTCTCCAACCGATGTAGGATCTCACATCTTTCATATCAAAAAATTTCAAATAAAAACGAGAACAGTTGATGCATGCCGACAAAATAGGTACATATTAGTCCCATCACCAGCTCCTCACCTCCCAGTTTAAAGGTAAGATACTGGCACATAAATGTCCCAATAGAATATGAACAAGAAGAGGAATTTTGATACAAAAAGATTGGTAAAATTAAATTCACCATAACCAATCAGCATAAAAGTTTAGGTCTGATGGTGATTTGAAGATCTCTGAAAGCCCAAGCTTACCCTTACCCAAAAGATACCCACTATGCTAGAGCCATGTACCTATAAAACTTCTCACTTATTCACTAAAGCCCACGCCATAACTACCGCCGGTTCCAAACAACATTCCTCACTTACATTCATACCTGATCATTCCTCTCCCTATAAATCCTCTTACTGCAGTATAACCAAATGACTGGACCTCTATAAAAGTGGAGAAGATTGAAGTCAGGAATACAAGACACAAACTGAAAGATGTCCCCTTCATTCTTGCAGAGCTGCTCACATACTAATAGCTTCTAGAAGAAAACTTAAACAACTAGATAGACAATGTTTCAAAAGAGTTGGAGAATAGACACAAAAGAATCAATTAAAAGGTACCTGTATTTTAAAGCCACATGCTACCTGTAAAGCTATTGAGGAAATTTTCTCATCATAATTAAGTGGAAAACCATATCTAGCCTTGCATTCTAGAAGAGATAAATGCACTTGAACAACAGATCCCCCCTCCCCCCAGCAGATAAGCTTCAGAAAATCAAAAGAGCCCAAGAAAAACAAAGTTAAATTTTTTAAGTTTCGTTCTTAAACTTCCAAATTTTGTGTCTATAAATTTTCAATTTTATATCTAATATGTCTCCAAACTCTATAAGTCCAGGGGGAACGCCATACCTACATAAAAGACCCGTTGTTCCTTGACTTTCTAAGGCCTAACCTTTCTCTCCCCTACTGAAAAAGAAGTGTTTAATAAGTCCTTAAACTCTCTCCAATATGATCCTATGTTGACATATTTGAAATTTCAAAAAAGAAACACTTTCTAAAGCTAACTTATCTAGATTTGATTCCTGAAATTTCAGGAACTAAAGTTGTAATATAACTGAAAAACAACTGCTAAAGAAACAGCTAACAAAAAGAAAGCTCCAATCCAAAAGAGACACTTAAAACAAATTGAACTAAGCCTAAAGTGTTATTAACCAGAAAATAAAGAGGACTAATATCAAGAAAAACTTCACGTCAAATTCATTGATAACTAGGAAGTCAAAGCTAGATCAGAAAAGGTTAGGTGTGAAGCAACCAATGCTAAAGTCTAATCTTTTGTTTTATAATCTTCTTGGTAGCTCTTCGTTGAGCATGATTATAGAACCAATTCAACATAATTCCTTTTTCTACCTCTCTTGGGCAACGTAATAATTTCTAATAAGTAAATGGATTCAATATCTTAATGGGTGACCTCAAAGATCTGTTGTATGACATTCCTTCAATGATTAGAGCAACGAGGGAAGCATGATCATTACCTATTAATCACAAGTACCAGTAACAGCCGCACCCATTTGCTACAAACTAATAACCCAAACATCATGACCATTTATTTCATCGTTCGCCCTCTGGGATTGAAGATACATCTCCACGGTACAAGTGATCAAAAACACTAGAATACCTTTATACAAAGCAGCTGGAGAGCGAAACATCCTATAGATATTTAATATATTTTTTAAATTGTTCTCATTGAGTCTTCACGGAATAAAGTTATTGTACGAACAATTACTTGAACAAAAAGTACCAAAAGATAAGAATCAATTGCTCAATCCTTAATTCGTATTGTTCTTAGTTCTTTTGGGACTTAACGTTTGACAAACAAGTTACCAGAGCATACTCGATATGTATACGCATGCAACAAGTAATCGAGAAATTGG